GAAGAACTGCGCTTAATGGTCTACTGTCTCTAAGCCAAGTTATAAAAGATCTAGCTCTTTCAGATGAAAGAGTATCTAGCTCTGGAAGATGTGTCATTTTTTGTGGTACTGATGCAAAATTAGGATATCCAAGCACATCCTCTATGAAGTTATTGTCACAGCTTTTTCCAATCCAAATGTAAAAAATAGAGCCACAGTCCATAAGGAAAGCACCTTCTCTTGTCAGCTTCTCTGCAGACAATTTTTGAATAGGTGGCTGAGGTACAACCCTGTCATTGACATGAATTGCACCCTCATCTGTCAATCTGTCTATCCTGTATAACTTGGGATGAATCATTTTCATTAGATGAACAAGTGGCTGGGACTTTATCTGGCACATGGCATACACACGATCATCAAGGCGGGTACTTGTACCAGTTCTAAATGCTTTCTGTTTGAGAAGAGCCAAAACATAGAGAGGAAACAATCTGAGGGAACTAGGTGCTATCAACACAGTGTGCTGCAAGTTTGAGAGAGTTGAGCCATACGCAGATAAGGAATCCACCACTGCATTCACTAAGGCATCTCTTGCATCTGATAGACTTGATGAAATAGATCGATCCACAGCCATATTTGCTAGAAGGCAGACTGCGGCTTGTACATCCACTCCTGCATATATATCTGCTAGTGAACTTACCACTGGTGAACAAAGTGTGTGTACTCTAATCCTCCACTCACCTTTACTTGATGTATATAATAGGGCTGTCTGAAAGCACACTAAAGAAGTATCTGTCAAACTTTCTTCAATTGACAGCTGCACTGCAAATCCTGCATCAGGATTGATGTTGGCCAGGGACAACAGATCAGTAGAACGAACAAAAAGGTTTCCATGCAAAGTATGCATTGAAAGACCTTTAGTACACCTTATTCTCATAACAGCTTCAAATCCAATTTTTCTTGTGAGGTAACGTTTTAAATCTTTTTGTAACTTTTCCGCTTGTGAAGGATTGTGAGTACAATGGAAAGATGGATAATAATAAATACATCCTGCAGAATACTTGGAGATGCAAGCTAGAGAAGCCAGGCCAGAATACTGTGAACTTAAAAGGAACAGATCCACTGCAGTCTGCTGTCCTGAGCAATCTAAAGCAAGTTTCTTATAAAAATCAGTTGCAGGGCCAAGGTGCTGAACAACCTTTGTACTTGATCTCTGATTAGGGTCTTCTCTGGACTGTAGAAGTCCTGCACCCATGGAAGGTAACTGTGTCTGAAATACAGACACACGGCCACCTGTCGGAGACATTAATTTAAAGGCAGCCTGAAGCGCAGGACCAAGGGCACTGTGTGTTTCTCTTGTGTTGGTGAACATATTTGGTAATGCATTCAATAAGTCTTTTATAAGCTCTTTACTTTCATGTAGATTCACAAGTAAGCTATCTGGTGTAGGTAGGAAAACATCATCTATATCAGACACAATCAACATCTGAGGTTGTGATAATCCTTCTTGTAAGTTATAGAAATGAATAGTGCTATCAAAGGTAACAAATCCTATTCTTGTTCTTGAATCTCCAGGAAGTTTGTCCAGGTTTTCTAATAGTGACTGGCACAAAACTGTTAAATATCCACCTTCTACTGCATTATGGGATACATCTAAAACGAACAAGTAAACTGCAGGCTGAGGAGGACGAAGCATGTAATCTGAAGAGGCAATGAACTCCACAGTTGAATTCTGAACTTCTGGTCGTTTATGAGGTTCACCATATGATCGAGTGAGGGGATTATACATAAATTCTTCAGGAACACCATTAACTCTGTAGCACAAATTGCATTTCCATCTACGCTGGTCAATGAAGGAGACAAAAGGGTTGATATATGTTCGACAAGATCGGCATCTCACAATGGTGTTTGATGTTATAACTGGTAATTGCGTTAAGTCTCTAAAAGGATGTAACAACAATCCTAGAGGAAGTTTAGCTTTATTCAGTAAAGCCTGTGTCTGTGGGATATTTGTCAATGTACACCGAAATGAATCTGGGCTACAATTTAATTTTCTGAGTTCTACATTCAAGTTAGGTACAGGAGCCCAAACCGGTGTCATGGGCAAAATATTCCTCTCTTGTGTAAGGTTTATAGGTCTTAAACTTTCTGGTTGTGGAGAACTCTGAAGACTCAATCCTCCTAGACTAGAGGACAGCTGGTTCACTCCAGGATACTGTTGAGGATACTGCTGATATCCAGAATACACTGGATTATTGGACTGTACTCCAGAATTAAGTGGTGCTGCAGCATTCTGATAACCAGGCTGAAGAGTCGGATAACCATAACCAAAAGGTTTAGTCATTTTTGTCGGCTGAGGAGCAGCTGGAGCCAGAGTTGGGGCAGGATCAGGTTCAGGGGCCGGATCAGGAGCAGGACTGCTCGTTGATGAGGAAAGTATATCTGGATAGCCACCTCCTTCTAAGGCATCATAACTGTTGGGCATTGGAGAAGCGCTGCTTGTGGTAGAAGAGCTGTCTACACCTGCTTCCTCATCCTCATCCTCCTCTTCCTCATCATCGGAAGTTGATGACAAGGGAGTTGGTGAGGAGCTAGCTTGATTATTAACATATTCACCATACTGCATGCCTTTCTGTTGCATGTCTGGCAGCTGCGTGGCAGATGCCACTGGTGTAACTGGGTGATTTGCAGCAGGAGGTGGTCGTGTTGCCGAGGTTCCTGACAAAACAGTGGATACTGCAGGGCTTGGCTTGGGAGGCTGGATATTTTGCATAACAGGACTGGATAAAGAATCTGCAACAGTATGTGCTGGGTTATTGCGGGTTGTAGCCAAGGATCCAATGTGGTTTCGCATGACACTGTCTTGGGCTGACTGAAGGCCTGGAGCTGACCACGATGGAGTATTGTATCCTGAAAGACTCTGCTGCTGGTAGTGCTGTTGTGATGATGATGATGGAGGTGGAAGTGGTGATGGATGACTGATAGGGGTATTCTGACCAGACAATAATGAATTACCTTCAACCGATCTGACAGTCGGAGCATTCTGTGAGGTAAGCCTTTGTCCATAAGGATCACCAGTAGGCAGAGAGGGATATGAAACACTAGGATAAGCAGCATTAGTGACAGCTGACATCGCATAATGACTACAAGTTGAGGGAAATCCCTGAGAAGCAACAGAAGAGTTGGCAGAGTACATGGCTGGATTATTGAAGTGATTCACAAAAGGGTATGGCTGGGAGGCACTCGTATGCAAATGGGATGCTGAAGATGCAGCACCTTGGAAAGATCCCGAAGTGGATCCAGTATGAGGAGCAGGAGGGCCCCTGCCATACATCTGCTGTGCTCCTGGTTGCTGGCTCACTGTGCTAGGAGCTCCAACATTTTGTGTTGGGACTGTGTAGAGACCAGAGTAGTAATCACCACACTGGTTATCCAATGGCAATGAGGTCATTTTCCCAGGTCCTTGAGTGTAATGTCCTGAGGGAGCAACATAGTTTTGAGGATGTAATCCATACCCAGAAGAAATCTGCATTTGATTCTGTGCTGGACCGTTCTGCTGGTGCTGCGCCGGGCCTGGGCCCGAGGGCACGTCGGCTCCTGCGGCAGCGCCACCGCCGAGTTTGGGCGGGATACGGGCGTTGGTGGCCTGATGAGGCGACCCGGCAGGAGCCGACATGACGGCGCTCTATGGCCACTCTTGAGAAGCTGTCTTGACTGAGTGATTATAACCTGCTCTAACATGTCGACTTTCCTAATAAACCCCATAATTATGACTACGGTTCTGCGAGATCTGTGTGGTCATTGCAATGGATTTAGACTCAGTAGGCCAGTTAGATTGGTGTTGGAGTTAGTAAAAAGAAGATTCAGAATTTTGTAAGATCATGTCTCGCCTTATAGGAGTTAGTTTTGTAGTGTGGATGTTGTTGATGGGGACAGTTCCCCTTTATGAAATTAGCAGAGGTCAGACATGGCCCTCTTCATGCTACCTATACTCATTTAACAGGCACTTACAGTTCTTGTAGTACATATTTAAAAACCAAAATAAATTGGTCACATTTGGCTCTATCCTGAATCTTGTCCACTCAACCTGTTAGTGAAGAACAACTCCATAAAGCTTTTTTTTTTTGGCTGAAATCTTTATAGAAACAAATAATCAAGTCTTTCTTTGTGGTACCTCTGAGTGGACTTGACATTTTTATTAGTAGTCACTTAGGGAATTCGCAGAATCAATGGAGGATTCTATTGTCTAGGACTCCAGAGGGAATCCCAAGTTTGTAGAAGAGCAAGTGGACAAACCACTGGGCCAAGTCCCAAGTCTATGCTAGTTAGACCACCCTCTCCCTTGATCCCTAGATAAGCTGGGGATAGATAACAGAATTCATCTCCAGCTTCTGGCAAAAAGGCCTTGGCAAAGTATTACCTGCTTCAGGTAAATAGGTGATGACTTTACTTTCTGAGGTAATAGAAGGATAGAGATTTTGACTAGAGATTAATAATTAACAGTGTCACAATCAAACCAGAAACTGCAAAAGAGTAAGTCTGGAACACCAGAGGCTCAGTCCTTCTGCATCTACCCAGTGAATACAACACTATAACCTTCCAGTGCAGGGCAGTGTAGCTCCCAGATACCTATAGGGATACATCCTGGGGCATGCTCTGTGCAGTCTCTTTTAGAGTAGTCAAAAATTCCAAGCTTAGACTTAATTGCAGAGCTTAAATGAAAATTACTCACCCCACCCCTTCTTCAGAGATGTTAATATAATGAGTTTGGGGAGTGGCCTTAGTGTTGGATTTTTGAAAGATTCCTAGACTAGGGCCACTCAGGAAATCGGAACCACGTATGTCTGTTTATTAGAAGGTCCTTGAATTTTACACTATAAGCAGGTGGGAAAGGAAGTTAAATGTAAGATAAAGGAAAGAAATTATAAGTTGGAACACTCAGACATGAGCTCAAGTCCATGAAGATGGGCTAAAACCTCAGTCAGTTCGTATTGCCTCTGACTATTGTCATAAAGGCATTTACAGAAGCTGAGCCCTTCAGCAGAGAAGGTTAAGGAAGGTCTAGGACAAGGTGGACCAGTAGTGAGCACAACATAGAGTCAGAAGATCAACGTCCTCGATATCTCACACAGGAATCTCTTTTATTGACCCCCTAACTAGACACACATTGGAAATGCAATTTGTCATAGCCAAATTGACACATTACAAAGTCACTACATCTGCCAGTAGTTTTGAGAACTCGTAGATCTGCCAGAATCCTGCAGTATTCAGAGATATTTGACTGTGATGTTCTCCAAGTTACTAAATCTTCATCTCAATCTATGCTGCTGTCATGCATTCTTCATTCAGCTGAGCCAGGAGCCAGGGACAAAGCATGGGTGTGGGAAAGAACAAGAAGAGTCTTCTTAGACTGGAAATTTAAACCATATGCCCTCAGACACTCCTAGACGCACAAGTCACCTTCATATTGTGAATTCTAGCCACAGCATCTAAATAGATGTCAAACGCAGAGAGAAAGATTTTAACTTGCACTATCCACAGGCCACTCATATTTAGGAAGAGCTTTCCAGTGGTCACAGATGCCCAGCAGAAGGGCTATGAGCAGCACTACAACCTGAGGTGGGCAAATGAGAAAGAAGATTAAGGAGGTGATGAAAATCCTTGTAAAAATACATCATGCAGAGAAAGGTCAGAGACAGAGGAAGATCTTCAATAAGGCGGATTGACACTGTGACCGTCACAGTGAGCTTGAGGATGACAGAAATTGTGATGATGGCACAAGATAGGGCAATGGTCAGATCTGCTCTTCACAGGCTGCTATAAGTTGTAGTTGATTCAATGGCACCTAAAAGCAATTAAACATACTGAGCACTTACCATGTGTTGAGGGTTACTCTAGAGCTTTATCCCATAATCTTTAGAACAGTCCCGTGAGGTTTGTGTGATTATCCCCCTTTTACAGATGGGATAATGAAGCTTAATGAGTTAAAGAAACTGCCCAAGGATAGGACTCCTGGTCCAGTTGGGCTATTGCCAGGGCTCATGTTGACCCCCCACTTAGCAAGGATACTTGACAGGGAATTTAAGCTGTTGAGAGGTTGGAAGTTAAAGGGTCTTTATGAGTCCTGGAATCTCCCTGGGGATTAGAAAATTCCACTACTCAGAAGTCCATAAGAAATAAGTTGTTCATTCCGATAGCAGACAGGATAGTCCCTCAAGTGTCCCTGTCCACCCCCTGGAAATTAGAAACCACTTATCTCACATGGAGAAAGGAACTTTACAGATGTTAGTAAATGAAGGATGTTGAAATGGGATGATAATCCTGGACTATAATCACGAGTTCTTATAAAAGGGAGGCAGGAGGATCATAATCAGAGAAGGCAAGCAGGGACATGAGCCAAGAATGAGAGTCATTTTCAGAAAAAGCACGGAATTGGATTCTCTCTAGAGCTTCCAGAAGGAATGCAGCCCGTGGACTAATTTTTAGACTTCAGACCTCCAGAATTGAAAGCTTAAAAAATTGTGTTCTAAGTCATTTGGTTGTGTAATTTGCAGGACCACCACAGAAAAATCGTACAGTATCCATGATTCCAACGGTCCCTCTAGGTTTAAGAGAAGTGGTTTATTGTGTGATCCACTTCAGGCATTCCACTTGAACCAGATCCAGGGACTTTCTGTACTCTCCAGGATGGATGGAACCAATTCCAATGAGAAATCTCGGACTCCCTCTTCCCACAGGACTTCTCCAATAGGCTTGCCCTGATCACCATATTTAACACTTCTATTTTCCTCCCCAGCCACACAATCTTTTTATATTCAGCTTTACTTTCCTTACCATAGTGCTGATTACCTTCCCTCATTGATCATTCTATTGTTTGTCTCCCCCATGAGAGTGAATGCTTCAAAAGGAATTTCAGGATACTTGATCAAGGCCTCTGCAGAGCTCTGGACAACAGGGTGAGCCCCAGGTGCCTGGTCACTGCACCCTATCAGCACCCCACAACTCAAAGACTAGCACACCCATTCTTGGGTTAAAAAAACCTAGATTCCAAGGAGCTCTGGTGTCCTACTGGCAAGAAGCTGTGCTGCAATCCTAAAGGCATGCTGTTCAAATCCACTAGCTGCTCTATGGGAAAGATGGGCAGTCTCTTCCCGTGTGATTTACTGTCTCTGAAAATCGGCCGGAAGGTCATGTATGGGTCAGTTCCAACTCTATGGTACACAACGACAACATGATCTGGTGGAAGGTTAGAATCTAAAGCTTCTCATTGGAGCTAGAATTAAAGGAATTGTGGAGCTTGAACAAACAAATACAACCTTAGGCACGCTCACTGCTTTGTGTAAAAAAAATTTACATGAAGTCCTCCATGTAAAGAAGACAGTTGCCTTGCCAGTCATCTGTGAGTGATCTATATTTGTCCCTATTTAAAAAACAAAAATATTAAGGTCCAATACCAAATATCATCATGAATATCACACTCAAGTAAAATCTTACTGAAGAAAAGAAAAAATGGCTGGAGCAGTATATTGACGTAGAACTGCCAGAAATTCAAACTGCCCAAAAGAGCTCATAGGGTGAGGCATGTCATTACAGGTGTCAGGTGGATCTTGGTTGAAAGCAGAGAATACAAGAAAGATGATTCCTTGTGTTTTGCTGTTTCATTGACTATGCAAAGGCATTCAAATGTGTGGATCATAATGAATTATGATCATTGAGAAGAATGTGAATGCCAGAGCTTGTAATTGTGTTCATGTGGAATCTGTTTGGAAACCAAGGAGTTCATACAAAACAAGGGGACATTGCCTGGTTTAAAGCCAGGAAGGGTGTGTCTCAGGGCTGTATCCTTTTATCACACCTCTTCAATCTGTTTGCAGAGGAAACAAGTACAGAAAGTGGACTATATGGAGAATGTGGCATCAGGATTCGAGGAAGATTCATCAACAACCTGTTATCTTCAGGTAACTTAGCCTTGCTTGGGTATGTAGTTGGGTGAGGGTAGCATCTGTAGTGTGTAGAGGACTTGAGACACGTACTGAAGAAGATCAAAGACTGCAGCCTGCAATATGGATTGTATCTAAATATCAGGAAGACAAAATCCTACAGCTACACTGATAACAGCATCAAGATAAGCAGAAAGAAGATTGAAGCTGTCAAGGATTTCGTTTTCCTTGGATCCACAGTCAATACCCATGAAAGTTGTTGTGTGATACTATTAAGTTGACTATGACTCATAGCAACTCTCAGAACACCACATCAGAACTCTGTCCTATCCTGTGCAGCCCTCAGGACCTCTGACATGCTCAAATCCATCGGTACGTAGACACTGCACCAATCCATCCTCTCTTCACTGGCCCTCCCATCTTTCCCAGCATGATATCTTCTCCTAAGGACTTGCCCTCCTCACAACATGCCCAAAGCAGGTGAGATGAAGTTTTACCATCCTAATAACAGAAATGTCATTAGGTGGGGCCATCCATTGATTTGCAAAGCAGAGAGTCAGCAAAGAAGAGGAAGACCGTCAATGAGATGGATTGACACAGTAATTGCAACAATGGCCTCAAACACAGCAGATACTGTGAGGATAATGCAGGATGGGACAGAGTTAAGGTGGGTTCTACATAGCCTGAGAAGCTGGACTGTAAGAAGAAAGAGTTGAAGCTCATGCCATCTAACAGC